AAATAAAGATAAAATCACATAAATAGTATATTTGTACTCAAAATATATTGCAAAAATCACAAATTAGGGATATAATAAATAGCTAAATTATGAGCATATCAATAGGATTCATCCCGTTCCAAATTAATTATCTAGTTTGAATTTTTATTTTTAGAGCAAATTGTGCTAAAAGTAAACATTCAAGCCCTATAATCATTTTGGGACCGAATGATTTTCTCTTTCCATACAAAATTATCAAAAAATAAAAAATAAAAATACTATCACGAAAAATTACCACTAAAAAAGTTAATTGGTTCAATTACTTCAACTAGTTTATTTTCAAGTAAATGATGTAATGGGATTAGGATAACCTAATTAAAGTTTAAGAATTTTTAAATTAGGATATAGTCTAGTAAATGATGTAATTCGTTTAAATTATGAATTTACTCACTAAAATAACCCTAGCATAATCAAAATTATTAAATTGGAATCAAATAAAATTATATATATAAGAGAATCAGGGTGGTACTTGGCGGGCATCCCTCCGATTTTATTAATTAAAATAAAAAATAACAATGATAGTGTTTAAGATTTACCCAAATGGAAGAGTCTGTCGCACAAAGATTTACTAAAATCTCAAAACAACTCTATAAATTAGTCACTAAGAGGATGCCTTACCAAGATTACACTAAAATCCCATAGTATCTCTATTCATACATTATTCTACTCTAGGAGACTGTTTTACAAAGATCTTACAAGAATATCATAAAAGCTCCCTATACTATTCCTTCTACAATCTAAAAACCTATCTAATCCTTAAATAAGGAAAAGATTTCTTATCTAACTTAATTTTACCTCTCAATGATGCTGGGAGATGTTCCAAAGAATTGTATTGCATTGAGCCTCCTGCTAATGCTCATCTAGCTAGTTCATCCACCACACAATTTACCTCTCGAAAGATATGAGTGATCTTTGAATTAAGAGGCATAGCAGTTCTTGAATTTTTTTCAAAATTGTATAGTGTCTCCATGGAAGATTTTTCCCAGTTTGCAGAAAGTTGACTATGACTTGATTATCTGTCTGAATAACAACTCGACGTATTTCTTTTGCTTCACAAGCTTTGAACCCATTGTATATTCCAACTACTTCTGCTTCCATGCTCATTGCGATACCCATGTACTTATACTCATCAGCTTGAAAAACTCCATTTTCCCCTCTTATGATGTATCCCCATTTCGCTTCATCTGGTTAACATAGTGCTAACCCGTCTGTATTTAGCACTGTTTCACCTCTATCGGATGTCTTCCATCTCAATATAGTGATTTTTATTTATTTTTTTTGTCTATGAATTTTCACTTTAAAGAGATCATCCATTTCTCTTTGTTCCAATAATGGTGCTGCCATTAGCTTGTGGACACTCAACATGTTGGAAACGTGAGTTTTAACTTCTTTGATGAGAAAATCAAAAGAAAACTGATACCTTCATGGATGATTTTATTCTGTAATTTCCATACTCCCCACAACAGAAATATAGGAATCACCATCATTATTGTCTTTTTAGCCGAGGTGTAGCTTACTTTTGAATGCCAAGTTTGTAAGGTGCTCCACCACCCTGCATTAACAGGAATTATTATACCGAAAATCAATGAAAAATGTTTCCAAACCTGCGTTATCCTTGGACAGTGAAAGAATAGATGATCTATGCTTTCATCTTCTGATTTACAAAAGGGACACCTAGATGGTTTAGAAACGACTCCAATTTTCTGCAAAATTTCAGGGAAAGGTAGTAAGCGATTGAAAAATTTTCACATGAAAAAAGAAATTTTTGAATGTATCAGTTTATTCCAAAAATTGCAAAGAGATGGAAATTCTTCTCTATGTTGTCTGATGTCGAAATATGCTGATGAGATAGTAAATGCTCCTGTCGGTGTTAGCTTCCACACTAGTCTGTCTTGCTCCTCGGAGAAGAAAGGCTCCATATCGCGCAACTAATCCAATATGGTTTCTTGCACTAGTCCTTGGAAAACCTGCAAGAAAAATTGTTTTGAACTAAAAAAATCCGTGACTGTGAGATTCGGTATTGGTGGTTCTCCATCTTCATTCCAAACAGCGCCTATATCAAGCCAACTATCTTAGCAGAAGGAAGATGCTCCATTACGTATTTCCAGCTTTGTTTTTGAAGATGCCAGATGCTCAACTTTTTGAGTTCTATTCCGGGTGGTTTTTTCTTTTGAAGAAACTGATAAAGAGCTGACAAAACGAGCCCATACTCCCTCTTTTTTCTAACCTTCCACCATAATTTTATGGAGAGAGCATCAATTACTCCATGAAGATTTCTAATTCCCAGCCCATTTTCTAAAATCGGATAAGTTAACTTTTGCCAAGCTCTCCAATGCCACTTGTTACCATCGGCTTTTTTTCCCCAAATGAAATTTTGACATCTCTTTTCCAATGAGTCAATGACTGATTTCGGTGGAACTATCGCTGCAATTGTGTGTATTTGGATCGCCATAAGGACATGTTTGATTAACAATAATCTCCCTCCTTGTGATAAAAGTTTGCTTTTCCAGTTTGACAATTTTCCATCAAAAACTGCAATAATATGCTGGAAATATTCTGATTTTTTCCTTCCGTTATAAAGGCTGCAACCCAAATATGTAAAGGGAAAACTACCTTGAGTCATTTGAAGAGTCTGCGAGATTAGGTTGATGCGGTCCGCACTACTTTTTTCCAGAAACCAAAAAAGTGCTCTTTTGTTTGTTCATTTTTTGCCCCGTTGCATCTTCATAGTCTTTAAAGAAATTCATCAATTGCTGCATCGATCTTGTCTGACCTTTAGTAAATATGATGAGGTCATCAGCAAAGCATAAATGAGATGGTATTATCGTCCCTGCTGGAACACCATACTGATCAACTCGTCCAATTTCCACAAGCCATTTCATATTTCGAGTTAATGCTTCAGACAACAAAATGAAGAAGTAAGGTGGGAGTGGATCACCTTGTTTTATTCCTCGGGGCGCCTGAAAGTCACCAACCGGGCTTCCATTGATCAATATTGATAACCAGCCCCGCTCAAGATTGGATATCACCAAATTGACAAAGTGTTGACTGAAACCAAACTTTAACAGAATTTTACGTAAGAAACTCCTAGAAACTCTGTCAAATGCCTTCATCATATCAACCTTTAATATTATGTTACCTCCCCTTGGTGAATGATCAATGAATTGAATGAGATCTTGAGTCATTAGAATGTTATTCGTAATGTCGCGCCCTTCAAGAAAAGCCGACTGTTCTTCCGAAATAAGTTTTGGAAGCACCTTTTTTAATCTCTCCGTGAGCAGCTTGGTGAGAATCTTATTGATGAAGTTGAACAAACTTATAGGTCTGAAATCCGCGAAAGATGTTCCTGTAGTCTCTTCGGAATCAAAGATACAATAGTACTAGTGATAGCTCGAGGCATTGGAACCCCTATTGCCGGTAGAAATCTCCTCCGAACCCATCTATTCCGGGAGCACTGTTAGAATCTGGACTGAAAACCGTTATTTAATCTCCTCCATTGTTAACGGTAACAACCAAGACTTATTGTCCGCAACTGTCACAAGTGTCGGGATAGGGCTTAGGATTTTTTTGCAAGCTTCTTCATGATTTTCATATTCATCCTTGGTAAGTAGGGTTGTGAAAAAAGATATTGCCTCTCTTTCAATTGCCGTTCTTTCCATGAGCCAGGAACCGTCTCCACTTCTGATTTTGTGAATGCCCAATCGTGCTTTCTTTTCGGTGAGCGAAGCATGAAAATATGCAGTATTTGAATCACCATCTTTCAGCCACTTTTAACTTTGATTTTTGTTGAAGAAAATCATCTCGTTCCCGTAGCTTCATTAATAGATGAGCTTGCGGTCGATTCATTTCCATTCTAGCACTTTCACTAGGTACCCGTTTGATCAAACTCTAACTGCTTTATTCTCACTTCTTCTTCCGCACTTTTCAGGTTTTGAAATACATCCCAGAATTCCATTTTATTCCACTCTTTCAGTCGTACCTTTAGTCTTCTAAGCTTCAATGAAAACCCCAACATTCCGGACTCATACATTGGTTCTTCCCAATTGTCTTTTACTACCTGAAGAAAGGACTCTCTTCGCAGCCACATCTTTTGAAACCTGAAAATGCTTGGTCTTGTTTCCGTAGCTTTCATGAATTGACGCAACAATGGTGCATGATCTGAAGTTGTCCTGCTTAGATGCTGAATCGAAGAGCTTGGAAAATGGTTTATCCATTCCTGATTAAATAGGATACGGTCTAACCTTTTTTAAAACACAACCCTGCTGTCAGTTTCCTGTCCAAGTGAAGAGGTTTCCCAGAGGGTTTAATTCTAGGAGACTGTTGCGATTTATCCAGGAGTTGAAATCCTCTATTGCTCCCCTTTCCGGCTGAGAATGACCTTTGTATTCGTCTAGACTTTGAATCACTTTATAGTCACCACCTATCATCCATGCCGGTCTAAAATCTGAACCCAAAAAGCATCCAATTTCGACCATAGTAGCTGCCTTTCTCGTCTTGTTGATTTTGCATACACTGCGGAGACGAAAACTTTTTCCATAGTTTTCTGATATTGCACTTTCAAATGAAGAACCTGATCTGATTGTCCTAACATTTTTATTGACCACACTGATGAGCTCAGAACCCATATTTTTCCGGATGCTGACGAGATCGCCTCTTGAAAACGAATTTTATTCCTCAGTTCCTCAATTTTTGAAGCAGGTAACATCGGCTCTAATAAAACAATAAACGAAATAGAATGCATAGCAATTAAATTCTTCAAACGTCGTAGCGACGTTTTGTTTCCAATACCTCGTATATTTCAGATTAATTGATTATTCATCAGAAACTGTGGAGAATGTAACACCGTTGAGTCTCGTCGATTTACGAGTTTCAGTTTCCAGAAGCTTTTTATCTTTTGTTGTTCCCTTTGGCCTGCAATGCTTCTTTTTATTTCTTTCTTCGTCCGATGCAATTATTCTGTCTTAGTGGTGATCTTCTGTAGCTGATTTCATCCCAATTCCAAGATCATCATGAGCAGCCTCAGAAATTGCGATAGCTACTCTTTCTTCCTCAAGTGGATTGTCCGCATAGACCATTTCTGTTTCGGAATCTATTTCATCATCCTTTTCTGTTCGTTCCGTTTGAGAATCAAGAACTTCTACTTCATCATTGTGACCAGCTTCCAAAACACTATCATCCTGCAAATTCTCTAGTGCAGCAAATCTGTCAGGCAACTTTACCTGCGGAATTTCGGCGACGGGTTGCTTCTGGCCGTTGTCTTTAATTAGAATTCTTTTGTGGCTCTTCATCTTCCCATCCATGCTTACAGGTTCTTCGCTCTTGCTGTTTTCCAGAAGAGCACTTAACTGTTCCTTTGATACATTTCTTTTTGCTGAGGAGTTTGAAATAGTGATCGGGTTTTTATTTTCAATATCTATCAATATATTCTCCTTTTCCTGTACTGTCAAACCTGATGAATACGCTTTAGTTTTTTCATCGGCTGCGTTCATAGTCTAATCAGGTAGCTTTTCTTTCTGTTTCCAAACATTCTTCGTAGGCATCGATTGCACTTGCTGCTTCACTAATTTCTTTTGCAGAATCTTTGGATTTTCATTTTGTTGCTCTTTCTGCTTACCATGCCGGCAATCCTTCAATCTATGTCCAACCTTTTTGCATTCAGTGCAATATTGAGGAAGATTTTTCATACGTAATTTCCTGGAAGTAAGAGTGTTTCTTAGTGCCATGGCAGATTCGTTTCGGAAGATCATGCAGTAGATCAATTTCAACACAAACTCGGGCAGTAGAAGGGCGAGATAAATTTAAAGTTGGTACGTCGATCTTGAGGGGGTACCAATGATGCTGGCCATTTTACTCAAGTACTCTTCATTGAATCGATGAATTGGCAACCCTTGAAATGCTATCCATGAAACCATGTTTTTGGGCCAGATTGTGAATTTAAGCAATTAGTCCAGTTTGGTGTGAGACCGTAGCCTAATTAAAATGATCAATTTCTAACTGAACACAAATTTATTTATTTGTTTAGGGCGACGTATTTCTTTTCCTTTTTTTTAAAGCAAAAAAAAAAAAAAAGATGAAAAGGTATTCAGGTCCCAGCTGATACATGAAATTCTCAAGGGGTCTACCAAATAACTATTCCCTACATCAGCCAGTGATAGATGATACCACACATCCAAAGGGTCTACCCAAGGGATGGACACGAATACTACCTAGTTCCCTAGTACCTTCTTCCCATTTATTTATTGATAATGTAATCAAAAGCTGAATTTACATCACAAAAGTCGGGATCTAAAGTATGGGAAGCATGATTGATCAAGAATTAATAAACCTTTTAAATATTTAGGTAAAGCATCTAAAGAAATGTAAATATCCGAAAAGCCTGAAGATGCCTTTTTAGCTAACATATCTACAACAGTATTAGCTTCCCTGTATATGTGAGTGATAGTAAAAACATTCCTTTGCAAAGTATTATTAATCTCCTGCAGCTGCAACAAGTACTTCCAAGGAAAAATAGAACCCCTCTCCAAAGAATCCGCCAAGTATTTATTATCCGTTTGGACAATAACATTTGATAAACCAAGCGGCTCACATTTGCGGAGGCCAAATAGTACGCCAGACACCTCTGCCATGAAATTGTCGCCACGAAGATAGTCATTCTCCCCATAAATAAAAGAACCCACTGCGCCTCTAACTACAAATTCATAACATGCCTCATTCATACTTGAAGATCCATCAGTTTTAAAAATAAAAGAATTTGCCGGAGGAGGAATCCACTTAACTTCTATTACCCTAGGCCGGGCCACTCGGCTAAGACGAACATTGAAAGTGGATAAGAAAAATGACTTTCAAATTCATTTCTTATTTTAAGATCCTAAATCATCATCAAAGAATATACCTGATCCACAATGGTTCGGATTACCTTGGCCAGATTAGGAGCAAGACCCTCATAAATCATCTTATTACGGCACTTCCAAAGCTCCCAAATAATAAGGGATGGCAATAGCTTCCTTAAAGCCCCAAAAGCTGTTTTGAAGTCTCATCCATTCCACCATCTGTCAAGCATGGTTACCAATGAAGAAACTCCAAATATATTAACTCCAACAATTGCTGAAAAATGGCGCCACACCTGCATTGCAAAATGGCAACCATAGCAGCAATGAAACACACCATCTCCACCATTCCTACAAGAAAGACAAATAGCTGGATATACATTAATGCCCATTCGCCCTAAAACTTTCGGAAATGACACTGATCTATTGCGCAACTTCCACAAAAAAAAATTGAAACTCTCAAAGGAATAAAAGAATTTCAAACATTGCGCGTCCATCTTTCAGATTCCCTCCTAGGCCGAATTACTTCATAAACTGACTTCACTTTAAGTTCTCCAGTAGAAGTATGTTGCCACACCAGCAAGTCATTATTATTCTCATTATCTTCAAGAAACTCTTGCACATGTGCCGCAAGGAAGTCATTAATGTTGCTGCCAAGGAAACCTTCTAATTCAGGGAGTATTGACTATTGATTTTGGAAAAATTCACGTATGCTCAAGCTTGGATAAGGCGGCTGAGTATTACCTTCCCCCCAAAGGACTCCAAAAGGAGACCAATTGTGGAACCAAAGAGATTTATTCCCTCGCCAGATGACAAGCTTTGTATGATGCGCAGCCCGATCACCAACCTTTGATACACGATTCCAAGAAGTTTTTTTCCTTGCTGCCAAGGATAAAGAAAGAATAAACTTGCTCCAAACTAAGATATAGCAGAAAATATAGTTGGTTCAAGATATGAATTTAATCATTTCAATAAGTGTAGGATTTAGTTAAGGACGTAATTTTCATTTAAGTAAATAATTCATCATACATAATCTTATCGTATATAAATTGTTAAATATTAGTACATTATTTGTAAATTTTGTCTACATAAATTATTTTTAACTATACTACATAATTTTTAAATTATATTATTTACATAAAAAAAAAATATAAAAAAAACTTGCGATCAATAAACCCTTATGCATATTTTTTAAATTAAAAAAAGAAGTAAAACGGCAAAAGGAAAAATAGGTAAGTTAGTAAGAAGAGAGAATATAAATATTATTTTCCGTAATTAATTATGATGTAATTATGACGTAAGACTTATGTATAAACAACTCCTGGACCAATCAGATTGCAAGAAACTTTGCGCTCAAGAGACATTTACTTAAACTTAATGAAAAAAAAAGTAAAATGGTAAAAAGAAGTATGAGTAAGTGACTAACTAAGAGGAGAATGTATAATCTTGCTTTTCCTAATTAAAAATCTATGTAACGCTTACGTAAGGATGGTCAAGGGACCAATTAGATCGCTAGAAACTATCTGCTAAAAAACATTTGCTTTAACTCAATCTCATAACAACCGTTGGTCATAATCATTCAAAGCTTTTGATAGCCAATCACCATCGTCAACTCAATCTTATTTCTCCCCATTCAATCTTGCTGAATGACTCAAAGACAATAACGCAAACAAATGACGTTTGATGCACTTTTCATCTGGGCTATGTGTGGAAATTTTTTTGGTTGGTTATTCATTCTCACGTGAATTGGGTGTAGATGGAGTAAGGGTTTAGTCTTTCGGTGTTAGTTTTCTTGGATTGTTCGCCGGTTAGTGTTGGTGGTGCTATTGGATTCATCAGAATTAGTAGACATTATTACCGTCTCCTTCAAAGGGTATTTTTGGAAAAGTAAAAGTGACCAATGTATTAAGATTTGTGAGAACGACATATATTTTAAAAATTTTGATTTTTCTTCAAACGATTTATATTCTAGAATAGGGAAAATTGAATGACAGTCTAGTGGTTAGTATAACGACCCAACTCGTCCACCTGTTATTAAACATCATGCTTAAGTACGAGTTGAGCCGTCCGCCGGGCTCTCGCCCAAGGCGCAAATTCTAAACATCGACTTAACATTGTCACTAAAATCTATCTTATCTCATATTACGCCCTATCAATAACAACGTCTCTTGAACACATTCTTGCTTCCCTTGGTCTCATCCGCATCGATTCTAAACCTGGGAGTGGGATAAGGGTATAAAATATAAAAAGGGGTGAGCGCCGAGCTCAATGAGGTTCCCACTATGTGTACTACGACGATACTTTTAATAAATCTATTTGGAAAACGAAAACATTATTCAAACTGTAAAACAATATCATAAACAGAATTTAATATACAACAATCAAACATTTCACATTGGTCATTTAACAATGGGGTGGATACGGGAAAACCTTAGCAAGCGCCGTCAAAGAGCCTATGTGGTACAGAGACGGACTCCAAGCTAGATTTCAACAATACGATAGCGTCCATCCGGACAACAATTCGATATCAATAACAATCTCTCCTCAACACCCGTGGCCACCGATTGATACTCATGAGCGCCACGTCCATCCGGACAACAATAGCCTAGATAAGCTAACCTGACGACCAAGCCAGATGCCGGCCCGCAAGGCTTCGCCTAGCAAAGGCAGGGCCCAGGCTCCAAGTGAACAGAGTCCACCGAAGCAACAATCACACATTATTTCACATCAATCAATCAATCACAACAATAGTTTTCCTGGAGCGATAAAGTACACCACCAGAAGCAACACATTCATCGATCATATTCAATCAAGTACGTTCGATCACATAATGATATTATTTTGTCTCAGATACAATAATACTTAGAAGCCACATAGAACACATACCCAGGGCGATAAAGTACACCTCTGGGTCATTTAACGATATGCATTTGATATATCAATAACATTTAAAAATGTGCTCAAGGATGTAGTGACTTTCAAATGTATATTCCCATACTCCCAGTTTTTAAAAGAGTGAGAATTAGTCACAAATATTGCTAAGCCCTTTCGAACCTTCAAGTCCTTTTCCTGCAACCATGTTTAACGGAGTTACTGAAAATAGAACTAGTTCAACATGATTAAGAGACTTACTAATGCTTAGTTAATGTGCCCTTTGTTCTTAATTATTTCCCCTATTATTATTATTATTATTATTATTATTATTATTATTATTATTATTATTATTATTACTTACCAATGTTTCTTTAGTGTGTTCAAGCTTTCTAATCAAACTAGGAGCACATGTCCTTTTTTTTTTTTCCTCAAGTGTTGTAGTATGTATTTAGGAATAGTCTTAATTGGGCTAAGGTTACAGTAATAGTTCTGAAAGCATAAAGGCTAGTGACTTTTGACCAAATTAGCCAGAGAGGGCCTATTCATTATCAGTCCAGTCTCTCTTTCTTGTTCCTTTTCTTTTAATTATTAGGTAAAGTAGATTTGATTCTAAAATAATAGTTAAACGTATTTTAAATCAAACTACACAAGCTCTAACTTGACTTCCCTATACAAATTAATTGGAGATTAAATCTACTTTTCCTAGGCACTTTCTTTGTTTTAGGACACGGCTAAATGAACCATGCAAAGCTCTTGAATCACATGAACCATGATTGGAGGACGAATCGTTTCAAAGAAAAGGGAGAATGATGGGATCATGAATGGACCAAGAAATTAGGGGAAAATATTCATTCTAGGTGAGATCATGGCCGTCCAAAGGCCTCAATCCGACAGTCTGAAACAATTTGACGGACGTTGTGAAATAATTTATATTTTCCTATCCTATTTTTAAAAACCCCCAATTCAAAACGACGTCATTTTGGGCCTTTTTCCGAACCCAAAACGATGTCATTTTGTGTACTACTTTTAAACTCCCCCAACCCAATTAGACACACACACAATTAATCCAAACCACCATCCACTTCCGGACGTACGTATTTTTGAATACCTCAACCCAAAACATATATAAAAGAAGCCACCTCCAAATAAACACAGTTCTTATGAACCTTCTACTCTCGTTTCCGTCCATCGCCGGCCACTTCTTCCCCACCAAATTCTCCAAACCAAAATAAAACTACCTCCTATATCCGGTCTAGCCGTCTAGGCCCCACCACCACCGCCACCATCCCCACCTGGATGACAGTGAACACAACGACGATGTCCCCCATGGTGCCGGGAAAGCAGAATCCCTCGACAGTCATTTGCAAAATCCTCACTCCAAGATCTGGTATGATGCCAACTCCAATTCGCACGCTTTCCAAAATGGCGGTGGGGCTCCCAACATGGACAACGCCTTGAGTGGGTTGGCGTTGGGCCAGCTCTGATATTGTTCCGGCTCCCTCTGGTGGCGCTGGGGTGGACCAACTTACGCTGTCCTTTCAACGGGAAGTCTATGTTTTCGACTCCGTTTCTCCGGAAAAGGTATGTTCTTTGTTCCGAATTCGTGCTTAGTGGCCAAGTACTTCAAATTGTACAAGGAAACTTAAAAGGTCTTCCCTAATTTATGGAAAGATCATTAAAAAAAATTAAACTTTTTTTTCTCACTCTCTTCACTTGAAATTCTGTATATTTGGTATGCTTATATGGTTCACTGGCTTCAATTGATTTTAATTATGTGGATTGTTGACTTTATTACATAGAAGATAAAATCTAGGATTCTACTGTTGGATTTTTCGATCATGGCACATGTGGAAACGCTACAGAGGTTGCCGGAATCATCGGGTTCGGGAACGCAATGGAATTGGCGACAACGGGTTATCAATTTCCAAATAATACCAGTCAAAACCAGCTCCCGATCAATCATGTTCAGTCATGATCACAATTTGTTCTGCCACCTTGCTTCTTTTTCTTCATCATTAGTATCATTAGATTATAAACAATAGAATGAAATTAATTAACGCTGGGAAACCCAAGAATCATGTTTGATATTCTATTCGGCTGGAGTAAAGCATCAAAATTGTATTGTTTTTCAAACATTTTCACTTCATGATACTTTTCTGAACTGTTAATGATCATGGTTAAGTTTAAGTTCTGATGTAAGGCAGATTAGAAGACTTCAGCGCCGTTTAAAGATTTTGGAGGACAAGAGAAGTACTATAGTGAGGCAGTTGAGAGATGATGTGGCTTCTTAAACATGGCCATGGCCCGACTGGCTTTGACAAGGTATGAGTTGTTTGCTTATCAAAGAGAAGAAATGAGTTTTACTTTATTGTTTTTTATTCTTCCCAACTTATTTTTATCATTAATTTTTCTCCTGAATAATTAGCTTAGTTGATTTGGGATATTTGTTTTGACTATGAGGAATTAAGTTCTATTGTTAATGAAGTGAGCTTTCTGCTGATAGCGCTAGATATTGCGAACTAGACACCTGTTGAAAAACATGGTGAATGTTTCTGCTTTCTGACCTCCTTTTTCCTGCAAAATTTTCAGGTTGAGCACCTCTTCAAGGATGAATGCTTGTTGGGATTGTATGATCTAAATTCTGTGAATTTATCATCAGCAACATTCATTACATTCGCCAAAACAAGTATGTATCTTTGTGGCCTTATTATTAAGCCTTCAAATTTCTATTTTTTTGGCTTGAATTATTCGAACCTTCTGATTAATGATATCAATGAAGCAGTCTCGAGTCTTATATTTGCATCGGCAAGATTTCCTAACTTACCTGAACTTATATCAATTAGGAAACTATTTGTGAATTCATCAGAGGAAACTAGACAGACAGCATCTATCAATGGCCACCAATCCTTCACAGCTTCTTCCTTCGGGTTCCGCTCTTCTATGTTTCTTCATCTGCTTTCGTTCCTTCCTGCTTCCAAAATTTTTAAAAAGTTTTTAATTATCTCTAAAAAAAATCACCTTTTGGGTTCTTGTTCTTTGGTCCTGCATAGTCGATAGATCGGTGCATAGGCTCCAAGATATGGGTTCTTATGAAAGGGGATAAGGAACTCGTTGACACTCTGAGGGGTTTTGATGTTTATGTGAATATAGTCCTTGAAGACGTCATTGAGTATTCAGTTGCTGCCCTTTTGCTTTTTCTTTTTCTTTTTTTTGGTGATATTTTACTGTTTTTGGTATTCAATTCAAAATCCCTTGGCCTCCTCTTTCTTGCATTGCCACTGTGATGTTTTTGGTATCCGCCCCTTCCTTACCTTCACTCTTTCCTGGATTTGTCTCCAACAAGCAGTGATAAACATCCGCCAAAGGAATCCAGAAATTGTAAGGGTTTCTAATGATGGAGCACAATCACAGCCGTTGAAGCTGGCGGCAGAAAAAAAGAGGCGGGGGAGGTGGCAGCAGCAGTGGTGGAAAAGGTGTCCCTCTTCCAAATCCAATTCGGATTACAAATAGCCGTTCCCAATCCCCTAAAGTAACGGAAATATATTCCATGTGTTAATGCATCCAAAAAATTTGGCTAAAGGACACATGTTAGTCATTGGAGACTCTGCATACTAATGCCTTGATCCACTTAACTACTCTTTTAGGCTATGTTTGTTGATTTCGGCTTAGCTAAGATAGGGACAAATGCTACCTAAAGAGCGCTTTGTTTTCCAGCTTTATATTTTATTTTATTTTTAAATTTTCAACTAATTTTGCTGGATGAATATAAACAATAACACTCTTACTTTATCTCAATATAGTGTTTCAGGGATAAGTTTATCTCTTTCTTTTACTTCTTTCTTCAGAAGAAGGTATTAGATAAATTTTTTCCTTTAGGTACTATGATTTCAATGAATTAAACACATACTGAAATTTTTATCTAAGCGGTAGAATTGTGTTACTGAATTAATCTAAGATTGCTACTCAACTAATATTTGTATTAAACTTTGTAAGATTTTATCTTTATTTTCTGTGATATGTGGAGATGGTTTCTATTCATATAAGAAACTTTTTGTTTTCCTTCTCTTTCCCTTGAGGATTATCAGCTATTACAAGATCATCGTGATCTTGGAATGACCAGACAACTTTGTTGCTGAAACCTTATAATACGAATCTTAAGGTGAGATGATTGAATTACCTCAAACGCAGAATCTATGAATTTCCCAAGACTTGATAACTTGCGACACCAATGAAGAATACTACAAAACACACGAGAAATAAGAAGAAAAGAAGAAAAAACGATGCAAACCAAAAAAAATTTCACCAAAAAGAATAGAAGATTCGAAAGAGGAAGAATTGTGTTTTGGTTTGCAATCCAATTGGTTCCTCTCTAACAACCCTATCCATTCGATTTATGGATAGAACGGCTAGCGAAAAGGCTCCAATGAACAAACTAACAAAGCTCCACATGTGAAGAACACTTAAAATCACGCACACGCGTCAACAAAACACAAACAAGTGTGCAATGAACTAATCTTCAAAAAGAATAAAAAAGGAAGAGTTTCCTCTCGTCTTGTATTGAAATATCAATAATCATCAAAAGTATATGTTTTTGGTCGACCAAGGCCCCCTTTATATGCAAAGGTTGGCTTGGACAAAAAGAAATCCGATACAAGTTCAAATTGGATTTGTCTACCTAAGTTTCCTAATATAAATTTAAATAATAATTAAATAAATAATTGCACATGTCACAATTAGTTAAAACCATCTAGAATCTTCTAGAGGTGTAGGAAAGTCGGCCATAAGGGATAAATGACCGAAAAATCCTTTTCCTAATCAAAATAGGAGAGTAGGAAAATCTGCCCCCCTCCCCCCCGTCGACCTCCCTGTCGACCAACACCCTAGTCGACACAGCCCTGTCAACTTTGCTATCGATCAATACCTTGCTTGACGCCACGCTATCGGCTTTGATGTCGACTTCCTCTCCTCAACTAAGAGCTTGATGTGCACTAAAAGCTTCAACTCCACTCCAAGATAAACATGAAATCCATTGAATTGAATCCACATTGAGAGCTTGAACATCCATGAACAAGTTGTTGAGTGCCTCATTCATTTTCTTTCTTCGAGACCTCGTCAAGGAACTCAGACTTTTATTCAAGTACTAGACTTTTTCTCGTCGCGCTATGCGCGACTAGTTTGAGTCATTACGTTGATACAAACTCATTTTCAAATAGTCACTTTAGTAGAACTTTTTAATCCATCTAAAAAAGGTTACAGAATAAAAACTGTTTTATGAAATTAAATTGTCGAAGGTTAAAAAATAAGAATCCGAAGTAATCACAAGCAAGAGCTGCGAAAGTACTTACTGCAGCGAATGATCTTTTGAAAGGTCCTCACTTCATTCACAAAAATTATTACTGATAAATTAGGTAATGAATCCTTTAGTTGATCGAGGGGCAAAAGTCGAACTATATATATGGGATTAGACGACGCCATTTTGACCGCCAAGGTATCAGTTTTATAAACCCGGAGAAGTCCAAACGACTGCCTGGGAATTAGCTCAAAAGTAAATGTAACGGTGTTACTTTTCGCAGTTCAGAAATTACTCACTTACAGTTCATTTTGGACAATTTTGTCCCTGAACTCTTTTTTCTACTCCAACATACACTAATTACATTAATTACAAATAAATTTAACTAAATTAATTAAACAATAACACAAAATATAAACTAAAGTAATTATACAAAAAATAATGATAACAAAAAAAAATATTAAAATAACACAAAAAATTGGGGGAAAAAAAAGGAAATGCTATTTGCTCGCCAACCATTGTGCCACCCATTTTATTTTTAATTTAATTATTTAATTATTTTTTAATATTTTTATTTATTTAAATTATTATTTTAATAAATTTATTTAATTCATGTATTTATTTAATTTGTTTAATTCATGTATGTAATTTAATTAATTAATTTATTTTATTTGAGTATTTGTTTGGTAGTTTAATATTTGTTTAGAAAATGTATGTTAATTGGTAGTTAATTAGATAATTTATCTTAATATTTAGTGTTTATAGTATTGGTAAATAAATAACGTTTAACTTAAATATTTAGAGAATGTTTTTTAATTGCGTATTATGTTCATAAGTTATAGTTGTTATATTAAATAGGTAAATTTTTGGTTAATTAGTTTGTTATATGTTTAAATTATGTTAATTACGTAATATGTTCGTATGAAATAATTTTTTTTGTTAAATATGTGTTTAATTTGTTGTTAGTTTAGAAAGAATTGGTTAATTAGTTAGTATGTTCATAAGTTATAGTTGTTAGATTAAAATGGTAAGTTTTTGTTAATAATGTATTTAGTTTATTATTAGTATATATTATGTTAATTAATTATCTTTAAAGTATAACATTGTTATATCGGATTATATATTATATTTTTGTTTATAATGAATTATTTGTGGTTTAATATTATTATAATTAATTTAAGTTATGATATAATTCATTTTTAATGTGTGCATGATAGGTTTGATCTGGGGGATGGCACTGATTATAGTTCAACTTTTGCTACAAACGAGACTTTTGCCGAAAGGCCTGACGCTATTGCATATGCGAAGGGTATTGCAAATATGTATAACATGGAGTTAAGTATATCCTCACATAAGGATAGTCATACTATACTCCTTTGTCATAAAGGAGGCCGATACCAAGGTCAACAGGTGGACGAAACTATGCGCGCCCGACCCAATACGAAGACACAGATGACCGGATGTTAGTTTCATATTACTGTCTACAAAATATGTGATAGGTGGACGATTCGTGTATATCCCGGTCCGTGGGGAATGTACAACTATTTTTTGACAGATCCGCCTCGGGTTAAGAGTGGACTGAGCGCAGAAGTGAGAGAGCTTATTGAGGAGTATTTTAAAGTTGGGACTAAAGCAGTTCACATTTTAGAGGCGAGATGGACACAATTTCCTGATGAAAATGTTACCTCCAAACAAGTCTACAATTACATAAATAAATTGCATAAGGAGGGATTTCCAATTCTGGATGACATGGCTTCCATTGGTTTTTTTTTTCTAGTAAAGGTTTTAACGAGCCATTATCCTAAGAAATTTCAACGTATTTTATATTTATTTCATGATAAATATGAAATATAAAAATATGAAATTTCAACGTATTTTATATTTTATATTTTTTATTTTAAATTTTTTCAAAAAAAAAATTCTCAGGATGGCTAGATGCATTGATGATAAATAAATACTTTTTTAATTTAAATATTTAGAGAATGATAATTTTTTAGTTGGTAGTAAATGATAATTTTTCATTAATATATAAATAATTAGTGTATTTTTATTAGTTATTTATAAATTATTTTTTTGGTAGTAAATTCATAAGTTTTAGTTGTTATTAAATGTTAATTTTTTTTATTTAAGTTTAAAAAATTCTAAATAATTAAATAATAAATTTACTATGTAAAATTAAGCAACATTCTCTAAATATTTAAGTTAAAAAATTATTTATTTAACCGCCAAACAAATAAATAAATATACTTAAATAAATAAATAAAATAAATTAAAGAATTAAATAAATAAATATATTTAAAAAAATAAATTAAAAAAAGGGTGGCGCTGGCCAAACCAGGGGGTGGCGCATGATTTGTGCGTCACCCCCTTTTCAAGGGCACAAAAATTGCTCGCCACCCTTCTTGGGGTGGCGAGAAAAGTACACGCCACCCGTGAAAGGATGGCGTATTTCTCCTGCGCCAGCCGTGAAAAGCTAGCGCAAAATGCGTCGCCCCTTCCCATTTTTTTTTACGGCTGGCGCAAAAATGCGTCGCCCCCTCCTTTTTTTTTTTAAAAAAATAAATATGCAAGGGCAAAATAGTCTTTTTAAAATTTTTTAAGGGGCTCAGATGAAAAATTAAGGCGTTCAGTTGCCTCTCAGTATTAATTTATAGATTTAACCCCACTACGGTGAAATTGATTACGACTGTTGGATTGAATCCTATCAACGGTCTTAATTTAATTGTAAAATCTATTGACCAATGAGATCACTCAATTTACTTGTAAGCCAATCACATCATTCAAATTGAACTAAAAAGGCTCCTGACCAATCAGATTCGATATTCAAAACTTAACAGAGACTTTTATTAAAGAGAGAAGATAAGGAAAAAAATAAATAAATTCAGTTTTTAGACATCGGTGTTAAATGTACTGTTTATATTTAAGTTTAGGATGTACGTTTGGGACCCCCAATCCCTGGGTAACAATGAAAGTTTCGGATATACTTCGGGAGTCTTATGCAATTATAAATTAATTATGGGCGATTACTAAATCCACGAAGGAAAGGTGGGGAGAAATCAACAAAACCAATTGCATATTAGGGTTTTTCTTCTTCCCCTTCCCCTTAACCCGTTTTGCCAGAAAAAAAGACCAACTCACTCCGAGCAGCTTAGCGGATAGCAATTCTCCAATTTTCGTTCAACATTCAAATCATGGCAAACTGTGCGTAGACCTTCTGCGATAGAAGAATCTCCTACTTTTTCTTGATGGTTTTTATTTTTTAATCAGAGTTTTTTGGAGCTAAATTCCTCTTATTTTTTCTTTGATTAATGTAGCGGGGGCTAGGTCGTTCTTACAAGCTGTGGCAACTGAGGAGGTTGCGACGCCATTAAGAGTTGTGCAAATTGAGGGACTGGTAATGCTTTTCATGATTTTATGTTGTCTTTCTTTTTTATTCGGTTGAAAAGGTACAAGAACAAGGCTGTGTTGCGATTGTGTCTGAATGTGCTTACGTTTACGCTGATTGATAGTAGAATATTTAAATCTGAACGGGTTAGGTCATGATTTTGCTCAGTCTTCGAATTCATCTTTTGTTGTTGGGAGGGGATACTTTTGAAATTAGTTGGGCATGTTCTTTTCATCAGTTATAAATTTGTTATTGGGTTGTGTTACTTCCGAACCGGTAGCAGCAATACTGGTTCTCTGCTAGAAAGTTCCTTTGTAGGGCTAGAGTGCTATTTAGTGGATCGATTTCTTCTGAATTGAGTACAATCTTTAAGAATTCTTAAGGTGGGTTGGCAATATTTTCTTCTTAACTTAATTTTACATCAGATAAATTAGGACAATTTAATATAGCTTTTCTTCATGTTGAGATTTGTCTTGGAAAACTATGATAACAAGAATACAATGACTTGACATGAACTGTCTAAATTTATAATTTTGTCTCAATTATTTTTCTTTGTCAGGTTGTTTTGAAAATCATAAAGCATTGCAAGGAGCTTTCACCAGCTTTGGTTACTGGCCAACTGCTCGGGCTGGATGTTGGTAGTGTTCTTGAAGTGACCAATTGTTTCCCCTTCCCGGTATGTGAGGCCAATGTTTTTTGTCCTCCTTTTATGTTAAAAGCTATTGTCCCCTTTTGGGTTTTTTCGTATATTTATGTACTTTATAAAATGTTGTGTTGTTTGCTCATACTTTTTAAATGGTAGATAAGAGAGGAGGATGAAGAGATTGAGGCAGAAGGTGCTAATTACCAGCTTGAAATGATGAGATGCTTGAGAGAGGTTAATGTTGACAACAACACTGTTGGATGGTAAGCATTCTGTTTAGAAGCTTTCATTTATTTATAAATATTAATGTATGAAGCGGGAGGATGATTAAGTTTCAACATGAAGCATGTTATGGATATTTATGGATCTTGCTGTATGTTGTTCGCGCACGTTATGCTCATTGTGAAAATGACAATCCTTCCCTGCTTAATTAGTCTGAGGTAGCTTGTGTCTCCTGGTTGAAAGGATGGTTACAGATCTGAATTCTATTAAAATTTATGGGTTGTTGCTCTAAATATATTAACAATCTTAATCAGTTCCTGCTCATCGTGGTTACCTTGACAGAGGCAAAGAGATAGCTAAACAGAGAAACAATGTGTTTGAGGGAGAAAGCTAATCTCTCCTTATACTTCAAAACCAATAACTGTGGCAACCTTTGATTATAGCTCTACTTATAGAGAGTCTAGTCTTGATTTTCCTTTAAATAACACAGTTCTGTCGCAGAAACTATTAGGAGTCTGAACACTCATAAATAACCCAAATTTCCTTGAGATGAAGATCTTGTTTTATTTTATTTATTTATTTATTTTAACTGCCTGCTAGCATTTCGTGTGTACGATGTCCTTCATAACATCTAACTCAGAAAGATAGAATTGCAGTTTCTGATGAGTTGACAAAACTAATGGTCTTAGGAAGTCTTGCCTGATGTAGTCTTCTGAACATGAATCCCGTTAGGTGCAATCCGTCCTCACATATGTATTGAATTGGAGTTTTTATGTAATTTAAGCTATAGACCGCATGCCACTGCAGGACATGCATCCATATTGGCTTTAGAAACTGCCATGATGACTCCGATCCTATGTTATCGGCTCTTTGGGACAGGGGCAACTCAATCCGCAATTAAGCTTTGATCACCCGTAGGTGATAGGTTAATAGCTTGATTTTCAGCATCATATATTTATTGTATAGAAAGGAAAGCTTTGAGTACTGCCTCTTACCAGCCTCTTCAGTTGCAGTCAAACTAACTGGTCTGTTTTGGCAATAGAAATAGCCTTGTCCTTTTCTTCAATAAAAAATAATACTAAAAATAAAGTGTTAAAAAAAGAAATAGAAAAGAATAAGCAGTTTATCCTGAAGTTATTAGTTCGCTGGCCTTGGATACAAGCAACTCTATTTCATTTTTGGTCGTGGCCTTGTAGAGGCTTAGAACCCATTAAAGGCCCGCCCTTGGTAAAAGCAACACTATTTCATTTTGCTTATGCCCTTGTCGAGGCTTGGACCCATTCAAGCATGTGTTCGAGTCGAGAACATTATCATGCAGTGTATTATGTCGTGTGACGTGCTTTTAGACTGCAACATGAATTGGATTGCCCTCCTTTTAGGTGGCTCACTCTTTGGATCCTTACATATCCCTGTGACCATAATCAGATCCGCACAGAACCTTGCTGTATGTTGGTTTCGTTTGGTCCTAAATGTAGATGGAGGTTATTAAAGTAGGTCGCATATTTTTGCTATCTTTGGATAAAGCAATAGAATTTCTCCATAATGTCATTAGATAGCCTTTAGAAAGCTTTTATGCAATTCTGATGTTTTATGTATATTTGCAGTGATTGTTTTGTTATTGTTTTTTCCTTGCCTATGTTTTCTTCAGTCTTGTTTTAAAGTTCCACCTCGCTAGTTATCTTTTCTGGTCATTATATTTTTTATGTAAATCAAATTTGATGTCTGCTCTTTTATGTCTCCAGGTACCAATCCACTTTATATGGTTCCTTTCAAACAGTGGAATTGATTGAGACCTTCATGAACTATCAGGTAACATTGTCTATCCCATGACCTAGTTTGCTGGCCATTTGCGACTTAATGGTAGTTAATTTGCTAAGCGTTGAGGGAAGATTAATGATGGTTAAATTGTGATTGCAGGAAAATATAAGGCGATGTGTCTGCATTATATATGACCCTTCTAGGTCTAACCAAGGAGTCTTGGCTTTGAAGGCCTTGAAACTTTCTGATTCTTTCATGGAACTTTATCGCAGCAATAACTTTACTGGAGAGCAGTATGAGATACTTTTTATTATTTTTCTTTCTGTTACTAAAACTGGGTAAGTGTATGCTGTAACTTTCTCCTTGTGCTTTTTCCTACCTAGGTTGAGAGAGAGGAATCTTTCATGGGTTGACATCTTTGAGGAGATCCCGGTATGTGTTTTAATACTATGAGCTGTTTTAATGTTACAACTGAACCTCATTGCTATATCTCATTTCAGTTGCAAGGTATTGTCTGTTTCATGTTCAGTTTACGTATCCTCATGGTATTTTTTGGTGTTATGATAGATCTCATTGGAGAACACATATGTATATAAGTTTAATAATGATAATTGAATCTGGTGATTTAATTGGCGCTGATGGGAAGCTTTTTGTTGGAAATCTACAATGTCATGCATATGTTGCTCTCAGTTAGTTTTTCTTAGGTTTTCTTTTTCCCGCATGCATATTTTTATAATTGTGGTGATGCATCTTTAATCTTTTTTGACTGATTTTCACCTCTCCTGCTTCTTTCCTTTCTCTTTGAAGTGTACATTGATATGATTGCACATAATGTTTTGGTCGTGGTTTCTGCTTGGAATTTCTGTTTTTTTGAGTTGTCAGCTTGTGATTCACATTCTATATTTTGCAGATAAAGGTTTCAAATTCTGCGCTGATCAGTGCTTTCATGACTGAACTTGAGCCTGATACTCATGTTAACCAGGTAACATTGTTTCTGGTTTGATTGGGATGTAGTTCTGTGAGTAACATTATCCTGATTTGTTATTTTTCTTGTGTAGTGTGATTATGATAGGCTACAGTTGTCAACGCATCCATACTTAGAGAGAAACATGGAGTTTTTGGTTGAATGTATGGATGATTTATCAATGGAACAACAGAAGGTCTGTTTTCCTTCTCTTTCGTATTTTATGACAATGGTTTGGCCAAATTGTGAATAATCAAGTTGTTATTCTCCCACAGTTCCAATACTACTACCGGAATTTGTCACGACAACAAACTCAACAACAAGCATGGCTTCAAAAGAGGAGGTAAATTATAAATTTTTTTGTGGAATAATTTCTTGGAACCATTTGAAGACATAGACTTTGGTTGGGTTAATTTAACTTCCAAACCGTGGAGGTTTACTGGTTCATCGTGTCGTCTACTTGTTAACAGTTCTGTGTTGTGGTTATTGGACAATGCTTTCTTCGACAGAATGATCACGGTTTCTAAATTTATGAATTTAATTTACAGATATGAAAATTGGTCATAAGTTTGATATTGTTGAAATATATTGGAGTGTGCCCCTTGGATAAGCAAATGTAAAGCACTTATTGTAATAACTTGAGTATTCGAACTATGGATTTATTGGAGAGAACTGTGTTGAAAAGAAAGTTCTCAATCGGGCACATCTACTAAATTCTTTTTTAGCCCTAAAATAATATGTACATAAGAGCGCATGTGAATCGGAAGCTCTATTGGAGTTGAGCTACTGTACCCACAGTTTCAGAAATTGAATGTGTGTTAGTAGGTCTATTGGTGTTTACTGTCCAGCCGCAGCCTGTACTGAGCCGACTGCAATCTATGTTTTTGGGCTTACATTGTCATTCATTAGTGTCATGATGACACATATTTGCCTCTTTTTGCAGGGCTGAGAATATGGCTCGTAGAGCTGCTGGGGAAGAGCCACTACCTGAAGAAGATCCTTCGAATCCCATCTTTAAGCCAATTCCCGAGCCGTCACGCTTGGACAGCTTTCTCATAACGAATCAAGTTGCAACCTACTGCAACCAGATCAATGGGTACGTATATTTCCCATCTATTAAAGACTGTCACTTTGATGTTACCAAAATTAAACAGTTCTGATATTTCTTCTGGCGAAACTAAGTAATAGCTGTCAGTCGTACCAGTTTGGAGTATGTAAGATGTCTGACTAGAACTTGCTCTAGCATAAGTAGATCAGTTTGCTGCAGGTCTCTTGTTTAGTGATTGTATCTTATTCCACCATGAATTGATGTGTATGGCAGTATGGGGATGTGCAGATGTAGTAGTTTCTTTATATAGAAGTTTTGGGTTTTTATGGTGGTGGGTGGCTGTGTGTGTATGTGTGTGTCTGGTGCGGGGAACATACTGCTACTGTAGTCTTAGATTCTATGGACAAAGACACCTTTGATTTGTCTTCTATCATGCTTTCTGAACGAGGTCTTTGTGTAAGGTGTAATAATTGAATGCAATAGATGGCAGTAGAATTGTACAGAAAGGTGATATTTTGTCCATAATATAATTTACCTTTTACCACCGACAAAAAAACCAAAAACTTTAAACCTCTTCAAAAACTTTTTTATTGGATTTTTAACTTCATGTCATTTGGTCCAATTTGATATGGTATCTGACTTTCCTTCTTCTGTTGATTGATGTACGGATTTCTTTGACTCGTTGGAAAGTACAATTTGTGTAGCTTGTGAATTTGACTACCGATTCTGGCATCTTTTCCAGTCTTGTTCAAGAGCTCTAATGTGTTTTGTTAAATTTGAATGTTCCCTTTAGTTTTCTTTTTAAATGTAATATACCTGGAATTTGTTAGCAATTCATTTTCATTTTATCGTAATCTCTTCATTGTTGATTTTCACCAGAACTTGTGATAGTCATATCTGTCTTGTGTTCCTCTAATTTTTGTGCTTCTGGCCAAATTTTATGGGGAGATCTTTTTAATATTTTACATCTGGTGTTGCTTATCATAGGGTTGTGGGCCAAAGCTTCAGCAGGCTATCCTTGATGAAGGCTCTGCATGAGAGCTGATTTTCTGCAACAAAGTAGGCTTCTCATTTGCATTATGACTATAAAGTGTAACCTGATGAGCCACCATCATGATCTTTACCTTGCCAGCGGTTCATAAATAGTGGGGGGGTGATCTTCTATTTTGTTCTGTTCTGCTCTTGTTTAGCTTGTAGTCTTGATGTCTCCAGATGATGATGTAACTGTCTGAATCTTCAATTGAGTTTTATTACTCCATATAGTTTAGGAGAAATTTTGGATGTAAAGGTTTAAGTTATAATTTATTCGCCACCCGTATTTCTTTTATCATACTAAGGATTTGCGTTGAATCAAAGCTGTTTTTTATAAATGCCGAACAATTCTGATATCGATAACATTTGAAAAGTACAAAAGTTTTGTCTCGGGATTATCAGTAACATAAATTTGATGTATTTAATTTTTTTAAAAATAATTTTTATTGTTGCTGTTTATTTTATCCCTTTTGTTTAGTTGTGGAATTGGAATGTTTCCGAGAACTAAAATAGGTTCTTACAGTACACCATCAAGTCAATTTGAATGCCTTTCTTTACAGCTTCAAGTCAGCTTGGATGGCGAATGTCTCACATTAGCTCGTGCAAAACAGGTTGAAAAATAAACCGGGGGTTGAACTAAATAAACAACACAGTTGGAAAGAAAAGAAATACTAACATAAGTAACAAAATCAAATTGTACGGTTCTAAAATTGTTCGGAGTACAATGACAACAAATGAAACGAAAACTGATATCAAAGGTGGGGAAAACTGGTGGAGGCTTAACAAGTTGGAAACAAGCTAGAGGACAACTAAACCTTCAATCCTTCATGATTTAATTTGATGTTCTTAGAATGATGCCTCTCTCTGCGGGCTCGCCGTCTTGATGACTTGCAATATTTGCACAACTTCTTCCATGGAAGGCCTACTTGAAGGTATCTGAGATGTGCAGACCAAAGCTAACTTCAATACTGGCAATACTTCCTCTTCATGGTAGCTTTCCAAGCTAGGATCAACACAATCCAGCACATTGCCTTGGTCAAGCAAAACTCTGACATGATCACTCAGGATGACGACATTGTCTTCTCCGTACTCCACAGGTCTTCTCCCTGTTACTATCTCAAGAATCAGCACCCCAAATCCAAAAACATCGCACTTTTCACTGACCCGCAAGTTCTGGCAGGCCAACTCAGGAGCAACATAGCCTAATGCATTCTGGAATCGGTTACTCAGCACGTGTTTGTCGAGTTTTGTTACTAGTCTTGCCAATCCATAATCTGATATCTTGGGATTCATATGATCATCGAGGAGGATGTTGCTCGGCTTAATGTTGTAATGGATGATAGGTGGCCGGAATGAATGATGCAAATATGCAAGCCCCCTTGCTGTTCCCAAGATGATTTTGAATCTGGATGCCCAATTGAGGGGTGCAGAGGTAGGATGCCTCTCATGGAGTTTGGCTTGTAAGCTACCACCAGGTGCAAAATCTGATACTATGAACTGCAATTGAGGAGTCCAATAATATCCTCTCAGAGAGATTATATTCTGGTGGTTTGCTTTTCCTAAAGTACGAACTTCTCGATCAAAGTCTTCAGGACATTCAACAATGTTGGATGTTATTAGCTTCTTGACTGCAACAACTCTTCCTTCATCTCCTAGTGAAGCCCTGTAAACAGTTCCGAAGACCCCTCCTCCAACTTCAGTGGCTTTGTTCAGCATTGATTCGAGGCTGGTGGTAATCCAATCGGGTGAAGATTTGGAGTCGAAGAATATGAGCTTCCCAGCAACCACACTTCCAGACCTATTTGAGCTTGAGCACATGCTTTCTAAAGCATCATTGATGAAAGCAAGTCTTCTCCTAACAGAAGCATTGATTAAGGTTATAATGATCACACCAATAGCTATTGCAGCAGCTGCCGAAATTGCAATAATGGCAGAAACGCTGAGGAACCTACGACGCCTAAAACCCATGATATTGTCTGAAGATCCATCACTTGGAATGTCGCCGCCATGATGATTACCATACGCAAAAGGATTAAGAACTAAGGGCTTAGCAGCACTCATTTTGCAGGGTCCTCTGAGCAATGGAGAACAGATGCCCAGATTTCCTTCTAATGCGCTACGATCTAAGTTTGGAAATATTCCACCATCAGGAAGCTTACCAATGAGCTGATTGTGGGATACGTTTACTGACAGAAGATTTTCCAATCTTCCTAGATCTTGAGGTATCTCTCCAGTCAGCTGGTTGAATTCCAGCTTCAGAATCTTGAGTTTCTTCAATGAAGAAATAGATTTTGGAATAGGTCCAGTTATGTTATTGTGGGACAAGCTCCTGAAATGCAGAGCAGTGTCATGAACATACTAATATAGTGAAGACTAAAAACTTTTTTAAACAAAGAACAGAAGAAAAAAAATAAATAAGCAAAAAAACTTCATGCACTTACAATAGAAAAAGAGATGAGCAATTGTCTATCTCAGATGGGAAAGGCCCTATCAGTGAATTCTCATCCAGTTGAAGGATTCTTAAGCTTCCTGAATCACATATATCCCTTGGAATTGAGCCAGTTAGCGCACTGTCTCGAAGATCTAAAACAGTGAGATTCTTGCAATGACCAAGTTCTGGAGGAATTTCGGACTCAAAATTGTTCAATGACATATTCAAGTATCTGAGCTTGACATATAACCCCATATCTGATGGAATGACTCCAGAGAGATTGTTCCCTGAAAGATCCAACACTTCCAGAGAATCAAGGAGTTTAGTGGAACCCTTTGGAATTGGTCCGGTAAGCTGATTTCTAGACAAGTCTATTTCATCCAATCCCAACTCAAAAAGGCCCTCAGGTATGCTACCATTGAATGCATTCCCTTTCAACTGGATACTAGAAAGGCTACTGCAAGAACTGATGGAATGGGGAATGATCCCGGATAGCCGATTATTTGACAGGCTAAGATACTGCAATGATTTCATTTCACCTATGGAAGACGGTATTGATCCCTGTAAATTGTTGCCTGACAAATCCAAGTATTCCAGGCTGCTCAGTTTATCGATCCATTGAGGGAAGTCTCCATTGAGAAAATTATGAGTTGCACTTAAGACTCTAAGCTCATTGAGCTGTTGCACAGAATCCGGAATCCTTCCAGAGAAAAAGTTGCCATTCAATTCAACTCTGCTCAAATGTGGACAGAATCCAATATCAGCTGGAAGTGATCCGGAGAAATGATTTCCTTGCAGCGAAATCTCTTTCAAGTTATGCAAAGCTGAAATACCAAATGGTAGCTCACCAGATAACTCGTTATTCGAAAGATCCAACGTCCGAAGCCTAGTCAAGGACTGAAACATTTCCTTAAAGTTGGGGTCACCAGAGAAATGATTATTGGACAAGTTCAGGTGGTTCAAATCTGTGCATTCAGACAGAGATGTAGGAAATGGTCCTTCGAGGAAATTCGAAGCCAAAGAAATGAAGCGAAGCGATTTCCAAGTTCGAAACAAGTTTTCAGGAAGAGGGCCTGAAAGCGAGTTGTATGATAGGTCAAGGAACTGGATTGAACTCATGTTAGCAAGGGAAGCTGGAATGCTGCCATCAATGTGGTTCATGCTAAGGTTAAGCTTTTCAAGGCCATTTAATAGAGCTAATTCTGGGCTGATATTACCAGTGAAATTGTTGTTAGCCAAAGAAAGTACCTTCAAATCTTGCAATTTTTCCAGCCCTCTTCCAATCTTGCCTGATAGGCCTAATCCATCAAGGGACAATTCAGAAACTCTGCCATTTCTTGGATTGCATTTGATGAATCTCCATGCACATGGGGAAGTGTCATCTTCATTCCATGACTCCAATTCTGAGGACCCAGAATGAAGAGATGATTTGAACACAATGAGGCCTAAAACATCATCATTTAGTGGAATTGAATCATCATCAGCCAGAGATGCAACAATAAGTAAAAAGGAAAGAAGAAAGAACTGAGTTTGTAGTAGTAACAGTGGAAATTTCATCATCCTTCTTTCCATTTCCTCTCTTTTCTTCTGTCCAGCTTCTTCTAAACTCTGATTTGCATTGCTGAAATTGTGAAACTAGACGCCAAATTGGATAGAATTTCGTACTGGGAACAGTAAGATATTGGTCCAGATAGATGAATTATGGAGAATCATTGGTCACGGGAAGTCGGAACAGAGAAAAAGCTGTAATTGGAAAAGGAAGATTATGAGAAAAAACAAAACTATTAGCTATTATCTACTGTGAGATGAAAGAAAACTTTAGTTACTGACCAATGGGAGACAGTATTCTATTCCTCAATGATTTAGTGAGGTTTAAATTTCAATCCTCGTATCCAGCATCTCTCAAATTTAAATATTATCGTAAGAGTTATAGTTTTAAACTGTCTTCATACTACTGTCAGGTTATACAGATTTCTATATTTCTGTGTTACTATATCATATCAATGTTTTACGTAATTGTTTGAATTCGGGGGGTAAAATGTAGTTTGGCCTTTTTTTTTTTAATATCATCGATTTACTTACCACTGTACTTGGTACTTGGTAGTTTGAGTTTTACAATTTTGGAATGCTCAAGGAACAATATTCATGAAAAAAAGAGCGTTATCCAAAGAGACCAAATATTATGACAAACATTTCCATAGACTTTCAGTGTTACCTCATTATCTGTTGTGTCATCATTCGCAAGTTTTTTGTCCCTCATTCTGTCATGGGCTTTCTTTGTCCTTGTCCTTAGGAAAATTTAGATGAATCTTATTCTTTTTACTTTTGGTTTAATTTTATTTTGGTAAATCGAAAATATTTTTAATCTCCCTAAGCAAGTCTTTTAAGAAGCATTATTGTACTTTGCTAATAGTGCTGTCCTTCTGAAGTAGCCGAGAACTCTCTTATTTTGATCTCCCATTAAATCAGCTTTACATAGCGCTCACCACTTATTTTTTAAACATTTTTATTCCTTTGGATTTGCAGAATCATCCTCTAATTTGATAATACTATAATTTGTTATCATCTTTGATGCTTCGAAAGTTTAAATTATGAAATTATATTACAATAAATTTTACACTCACAAGCTTATCTCATTTGCAAATATGAATGTTACAACTTACAAGTTTGTAAGTTAGGCTTAGTTATGTCAATGAGTATTCGATAAAAGAAATTTAGTCGGCTCTCACTTAAAACTGAACCGAAATTTCTCAAACATCTTGTCAATGTTAATCTTCAGATCCTATTTATTTGTAAGTCATAACTTTCTAATAAATTTTCAATCTCCAATCGTACTAAACAAGATCCGAGTGATGCAACATTGCGATACGATTTCCCCCAAGCCACTGCAAACGTAAATTGACAAAAAAAAAAAAAAAAAAGAAGAGAAGAGACGTTAAATTTGAGGGTTTCAGATGATCCAAAATGGTATCACGGGGATCAAACATCAATCAGTGGCCTTTGACAAAATGGTCCTACTCCTATACTCACGATTTTCATTTTACCTTTCTTTTCCACAACCATTATTGATGCTTAAGAAATTACTATAACTAAGCCTTTAGTTTTAAGTTACTCAAGAAAATTATTCACTATAAGTTAACTTCGTTGAGTTTAAGGTTAAGAGCCTCATCAATTGATTCACAATATGGAGTTTTATATGGTTTTCAATCTTATGTAAGTGTCTTTTTCGTTTTTTACTCATTGTTATCTTCATTCAATATGCGCTGAGTATATAAGTGTGAGATTTATAGCAATGGTAAGAGTTAGGGATTTTAATAAAAACAATTGGGAGTTCAAGTTTCGGCAAGAGATAGACTAATCAGAATTTCTTATTACGTTACGTATTAGTTGATAATCTAAGGTTATGACTTGCTTATTGTTAAAAAAAAAAGTATAAGATTATTTTTCTTTGGTTTATTTTATTCTCAATATAGTGATGCCAGATGATTGATCATAACAATCCAGGGATATATTTGTAACCTCTTGAAACTAGACATCATGTCAAATTTTACGAATTTGAGGTTTATCTTGTTGCAATTTGCTAAGAAATAACCTTGTAAACTGAAATGGCTTTATCAATGATATCACACAAAATAAAGCAATAGTTTTTAAACCGTTTTATATTTATTTGAAAATAATTGTTCATGTGAAAATTATTTTAAAACAAAGAAAGTGTTATAAAATTAGTGAAAAACTAATAATATGAACTAAGCATAAGAACAAAAGAGAGAAGACAAAAGAGTAGAGAGAGATAACAGACTTTTATTCAGATGTATTTTGAATCATGAATGAGCTTCTTATTTATATAAGAAGTAGCGGGATCAAACTGTGAGAAATGAATCATCTATCATTAATGCCAAATATTACAGAATTATATCTCCCTGATTGTGAATAGAATAATATGTATTAATTGTAAACATTCAATCAAATCAAATCAAATATTTCATAACACTCTCCCTTTGAATGTCCATCTTTGCGGGATAATACTTCGTTAAAACCTTACTAGGAAAAACCCTCTGAGATAAAACCCTAGTGAAGGAAAAAGAGTACACTTCCGAATGTGACACTGCCTCATTAAAAACTTTGTCAGGAAAATCTATTGGAACAAAACCTCGATCAAGGGAAAAAGAGTACAGCGTGGGTTACTCCCCCTGTTAAGTACGCCACTTGTAATCTTCTCGTTGCATGCCAAGCTATTGACCAAGTTCCTGATTGTTTAAGTCAATAATAGATAGATTACTTCGACTTCGCATGTAGACGGTTATCTTCATATACCTGTATAATTTTGAGTGTTTTATAATAATGGAGATGCATGACCATCATATCTTGAAGGTATCAATATACACCATCCAAGTCTTGACTAATTGATTAGATAAACCGAAACTTTATATGGTATTTCAAGACCAAATCAGTCTACATCATTAATAGAAAGTCAAGAAGAATGATCTATATGCACATGAAGATTTTAATCAAGTGCACTCAACGAGTGTTGAATATACAAATGTCAAACTATTTAGACCGAGATTCTACTCAAGATCTTTCATTATCCTTGCTTCAGGCAAGTAGCAACTTTTTGAACTTCCTTAGAAGTGTTCAAAACGCTGATATAACTCTTCACGAGTTTTACTTAAATTCAGGCTATTCAAATTTCGTGATAAGTTTCGATAGTATTCAGCCTTTTGAAACTCTACAAGAATTCGGTGCTAACAAAATTGTAAATGCACATATGGATTATGAATACTCACTCTAGTATTAGTTAGCATCCTATCATTTAAATATGATCATAAAATAGATAAAAAATCATATTACAAACAAACATAACATATCTAGATAAAAACAAACACAACATATCTATTATATTAAAAAATATGAACCAAAATATCTAGACACATGAAGACATTATAACTTGCGCAAGTCCTTTGAATTAGTTCCTCGAGAATTGGGATCATGTCCCTTTATTTTTAATCCTTCGGGGATTTCATATAAACACAATTATTAAGTATCACGTATTAAGTGATTACTATAATCAAGAGACACATTTCTTATCTTTATTTGCTACCAGATTAGCAAATAACAGAAGAGTTTTCTTTTCATCCACCACAAGATAAACCGGACTTTGGGAAAAACTTGTTCAATAAAGAGGTTGCTCGATAATCTTTTGCACAATCACCCGCCAAAATCTAGCCCGTATATCACTTCCCAAACTTCTAAGTTCGCAAGCAATTCAATTCTAAGTACACATCGTCAAGTGTGTATTGCATCTTTCATTTGTTGTGGCCAATAAGTTTAATATCTGCATCTACAACAGATTTTCATTCTATGATCCTCATTTTCATTTATTTTACTTACTGATGCAGTATAAATAAATTTCATGTCGACATTTTATTACTAATTGATTCCAAGTTCTTTGGTAATGAGATCTCACAATCATTAAGTTTCCCAAGTATTCATATACTTCTTCTAGAAGTTAATTCACCATAATGGGAAACTATTCCAGTTTAAAATTCTTATGAATTATAATCGCTCGTATTTGGCATCTCTATAGATTTAAACCTTGTCATTTATGAAGATTTTTATTATTAGAACTGATGGTTCGATCACTCATCAAATAGACATCCAATAATAATAGTGGTAGATGGTCCTACAAGGACATAATTTAAAATTTAGAATTTGACAGCCTTTCGCATGTGATTGAGTCACATGCTTTGGTCAGTTAAACATCTGACTTTTAAGATTATCTCTTGAACTTCATGTTCATATTATCGAGGATCATCATGAGATAATTATCTTGTCCATCTAATTTTTATAAATAGGCTGTTTTAACTTCTCCCCCTGATGTTGGGATACCAAACTTGCTAAAATGACGATTAACCAACCGAGCAGTTAATAATCTCCCTTTTGAGAGTAACTAACTCGTCAAACTAATACAATCAGTTCATCGAGTAATTAATCCAACATCAATATTTCAAAAACATTAGAGATTCAATATTCAACATATATTTCTGACCTCTTCTGGAGGTTCCATCATTGTGTGCATTGTGGTAGAATAATTATAATATAAATTACAAATGTAATTTTTTAAGATGGATATGTATGGTTTCTTACCGAAAACCACTGTTGATGAGAATATCTGCAATGACTTGTTTGGTCTTATGCATATAAACTTTCTTGTTTGATCTTGAAACCAGAATGAGTTAAGTAGTTATGCCAAATTATAGAATTTCTCTTCTGGAGAAAAATAGTAAATTAATTATTCAAATATACCAGAAAAATTTTGCTCCACATGAGCGTTTATTCTGACAGAGTATTTATTATTCATTTATTTTCATTCTACCATAGTTTTCTTGCTCTTTTGAAAGCAAAGTGTATTGTTACTCTGCTGGAGACAACAATAAATTTTCAAATTCAAAATAGTTGTGTTGGTAATGCAATTTACATCCTTCTTTGATACATTGGAGAATATAATATATATCAATGCACTTTCCCCTTCTAACATTCTCTTACTCGTTTAGGAGCAAAGTTTGTTTACTATTGCTCTTCGAGAGGCAATGATGAATTATTATATTTTGCTCTTCAGGAGCATTTATTTGTTTTCACTCTCCGGATTTATTATATTCTACGGAAGTTTTCATCTATCTTTACAAAATAATTCAATGATATATGATCTACTGGAGGTTTTACTTGATTTTGTGTTTATCATTGACTAGCATCCCATTCAGGACGATTAATAAAATTCACTATGTCAACGAGGTAATATTAGTTGCACTATGTGCCAGGTATACTTTTGTCAGTAACAAATTTAGATCTTATTTTCTTCGAAACATATAGATAGAAAATATCAATCATAACTATGGTAGCCAAAAGATCACAAGACCTTTAGGGTTTTGACATATTAGACATTTTCATCTCTAAAATTTTTTAAATCACCTTCAGGGCGTTTTGACAAAGATTGAATTATGATTTGTTAATTCATTGTCGACAGGACTAATGAATTCGTCTACTTTTAATAATATATTGAAGATATCAATAAGATAATTATGGGTATACAGAACATGTAAACCTAATGATTTTATGCCACAACGATAGCATGTGCAATATACTACTTTTCAACTTTAGATCGATAGTAGTGTTTTCACTATTTTTCCAACTTCAGGTACTTAATAATGTATCTACTAAAATCAGTAATAGCATTATTGCATGATCGTCACATTTACTTCAGGAAATGGACCATGTCTAAATTGAACTTGTCTTCAAACTAATTCTCCAACTTCAGGTGAACAATTATATATATACATATATATATACATAATTATTGTAGATGTAATGTATATAATTTGCCTTGAAATAATTTACTGCCCACTCACTTTGGGGAATGGAAGAAAATCAATTCATAAGATTTCATCAAATATTTCGCTATAATGCTACTATTAGAGCATTTTAATATGCTAAATATATTATCACAGCATTGCTACTTCCGGAGGAACTTTGATGCATTTACATATTTCTACTGGCAGTATATTTACTTTCATTACTAAATATCATCATTATTATGAGAAAAGTAAAATATAAACGTACAAAGAAAATATGAGAAGGGGATTAATTCTTTTTTACTAATATCAATAAACACATGATAATAAAACAAAGTGCTTTCCTTGCAATCTAAATATCAAAGAAATTAATTTGTTAAATAAAACTTTTTTTTCTTGCACACATGAATGCTATCACAATTACAAACTCATATAAGTTTTATACATTCAAATTATCAACAATCATATATATATATATATATATATATTTATTAAGAATTGCATCGTGATTATTATATATGTGATATGAATAAATAAAATTTATAACAAAAAAATATTTCTCTTCACATGCGAACCAAATATGTATGCTTTATGATTCACCTTTTTCTCCAATCATTTTGAGTCATTAAATTAAACTCCATGATGAACCATCTCAATGTGGCTAGAAACTCGTGCACTAGTAAATTTTTGAAGTCACGTTGCTTCAGGCGCTTTAGATCACGAAACCCTTTTAAAATATTCATTGAGGTTTTAAGCTTTCAGAATTAATACGCACCAATTTCGAGCGGTGGTATAATTAAAATATTTATTGAACCTTCAGACCTTCAGAATTAATACACACTAACTTCAGGTGTTGCTAGAAGCTCTTTGACTAGAGGCTCGTGCTGATAACGTATTATAAAATTAATGATAAACTAATAATGTGAACTAAGTATAAGAACAAAAGAGTAGAGAAAGATAAGAAACTTGTATTCAAATGTATTTTGAAATATGAATGAGCTTTCTATTTATAGAAGAAGTAAGGGATCAAACTATGAGAAATGAATCACCTATCATTAATGCCAAATATTACAGAATCATATCTCCTTGATTATGAATAGAATAATACATATTAATTGTGGACATTCAATCAAATCAAATCAAATATTTCATAACAGAAAATACTATAAATTCACAATATTTTTGGTGATTCTAATTGGGTATTAGGCAGCAGTAGCAGTCAAGCCAGCAGCATGCAGGAATACAAATTGGTGGTGGAAGAAAAGAGTGGCCAGTTTGTGTCTGTTTCTTCGTTGTCCATTTAGTATTTTGTTGTCTCCTTCGATTCTATATTTCTATGCAATCAATTAAGTCATCTCTCCCTAAAGGGCACATGCACATTTTGAAAGTTGCCAAAAAAATTTGAACATGCACTTCATCTCTAATTCCAGACCATATGATCAATGACCACAACCTCACGCTACGGACATAGTATTTCATTTAACACAAATGGATGTATTGCTATTCATTTTATATCATAACATCTATCATCTATAATTCACCGATTGATTACATGATATTTAGCAGAACAATGATTAATAATATTACAAGTATTACTACACGAAGGGGGAACCTTTCAATAAAACAATTATCATCAAGGTATCCACCATAAGTAAGGAGATTAGTCACTGTCGCCAGCGGTAAACACCTTGTAATATAAAAAAAAAAAAAAGAAAAAACCACTCTTATCCTTAATTAACCTAACATCAATCCGGGTCCGAATACCTTGCATAATCAGAAGATAGTAAATCTATACATAGCATGTTCAGATTAATTTCGGATCAAATAGAGTATGTTTCTTTTAAAAGGTAAATATCTCCTATTCCCTTTATTCTAATTCAATAACCCCATTTAAACTTATATGGAGATAGAAAAAGTACATAATATGATTTAAATGATTAATTACCTTTTGAGTAATTCACTTTATATGTTCATATTAATGATTAGTGGTTGCTAGTTAATGTAGTGAGATTAGGAGTTAGAATTAATTAAATATATTAGATTTTAGTGATACTAATGATGTATATAAGAGAATCTATAAATAAAATTAATGTTAATGTCTGATATAAAACTTAACTTTGAAATATCTTAGAACGGAAAATGTCCTATTGAACTGAAATAGAGAGAATAATAAGTGCTTGTTGGTTACTTTTTTTTCTTTTGAAAGCCCGAAATATGGGCTATATATTCTAGTATTTAAATTCTTATTGTTAATTTACATATTACACTATTTAAATTTTGCTGAATGTTTAGAGCTGGACCCTCGCTGGTTACCTGATTGTAGTAGAAAATGTCCTAACATTGATATACCAAATATTGACACCAATTAGAATTAAAAATTGACTCTTTTATTTATTTATTTTTTATCAATCTCTCTTTCTGTGGGTGAATTTTTTTTTTTTTAAAAAAAAAAACTTATAATTATATTGAATCGCAGCTGGGCCAATCATTTGGACCGGCTTATTTTCTGTGATAGGAATGGCGGCCCATAATCCATGATATGTGCCCAGTTTATATAATACATTTTACTTCACAAAATTTTCCACTTGTCCTGTCCGACTGTCGTTTAAACCATTTCACTAAAAAGTACATATTCGTGTTGATTTAAATGTAAACAAGCTGAGAACAATATTGTCAAAACAATTATTAGCACCTAAAATAATTCTGTGTTTTGTTTCTTAAACTACCTTTATTTTTAAGTCGTTCCGGCCCTTTTCCTCTATAACAATTTATTAATAAAATCATTCCTTTTGTACAACTGTTTTCATGATATTGATGGTTTCATGCTCACTCTTAATCCCATATTTGAAGCATAAATTTTTGGAATTGATGAGTCTCTGATTTTTGGGGTAGATTGCTTCAAAGGATGAGTTCAAATTCCCACCCGTCTTTTTACCTCAAGATTTGAAAATAAAATGGAAACAATTGTCTCCACAATCATCTCTCTGCTACCAAGCTGGAACCAAACACCCTCATCTTTGTTTAGTATTGAAAATTGAAACAACTAGCCGAAATGCATGAACCTTGTGTTTTGAATACTAGAGTTTAAAGTGATGTCGATTTCATCTCCGTATGCTTGAAGTTATTAATTTTCTACAGATAAGCTTTTGTTTGAATCGATTGTGAATAATGCTGGAGAAACTAATGGTCCGTTTAGGAAAATCGATAGTGTGTTGAAAAGGGTGAAGGAGGCGGGAGGAGGGAGGCAGGTTCTTCGGGACGAACAAAGGGCAAACACTGAGTGACAAATTAAAAGGTGGTTGTCATTTTACAGACAAAATTGTTCTAGATTCTATAATTTGTTTTGACAATGTCATTATCCAATAACGTACTAGAACAAAATTTTATATATGGCTGTAACATGACAACTACCTTTTTTAAGTGTAAAAATTTTGCCATGTTAGTGATTCGATAATGTTACTAACATGGCTTCTGGCGAAGATAGACTTAGGGCCAGAAGACTGGTGCTACAATGCTAAAAATTCATTATACTTAAAAAGGTTGTATGTATTTTTTATATATATAATCTGTACATCTTTTTCTACTCTAGCAAAAGGTAAACAACATGTTCAATTATATCTGTTTCAAGTAAGGCGGCTACCTATCTTACAACAAAAAGGGCCAACCAACTGGACTTCATGGCCACTTTTCTGGTTCCGAGAAATCACATGAAGGAATCAAGATATCCATACTGACGCCTTTTGTTGCACTGCAAAAGGCTAGCATAAGTTCGGTCCCAGACACCAACAAAAAGTGATTCGTCATCTGGACTTAATGATACCCCAGAAATTTCACCAAAGAAGTCGATCTCTTGTTGTTTTTTATAATCTGCCTTGGAATCATATATGTGAACAAAATCTGCAGGTTCAGCCACCACCAGAAACTGCCCATCAGATGAGAAACGGATTGATCTTACTGCTCCCATATTTCCCTTCAAAACTGCCACTGGTTTGGAGAGATTTCTTACATCCCATACTCGGCATGTCTTGTCCTGATTTCCAGTGGCAAATGTGTGTCCTTCTGGGTGCCATGCAGATGCAAAGGAATAATCTAGATGGCCAACAACTGAGGCCACAGTCTGAGAAGCAAAGAACGACATTGATTGAGCATTTTGTAACCTTTTTATGGACATCAAAAAACTATTGACTAAACAGAAAGGATCACAGAGGCTTTCTATTCCCAGAACCATTGAGTTGCCAACGCTTTTCGCAAACTTAAGATACAACTTCTTGGCATGCAAGAACCAAATATTGAATTGAGTCTTGTAAGGTCTCACATCTCCCTCTCCTCTCCTCCTCTCACTCACTCTAACCAAATTGGCATTGTAGGGTAAAGGATACCGAAATATTTCATCACCTCAAGAAATAAAAGTGAAAAAAATATACTTGGTCAGCTATCTAATCATACCTTTCCATTGTGGGCATCCACAAGTAATCCATCTGAATCATCCCCAACAACAGTCAAAAGTCGCCGGTCTGGACTCAAAGATGTGTGCTGCAACACAATTAATCATAAGGCACTTGAAAAACTACATAATTTCTCATAAGGTAGTCTTGCTGGAAACTACATAAAAAACCAAGACAAATTTTCAAGCAGAATAATACTTTCATGCATGCACATTTTGCTAGGTCCCTTCTTTTCCCCAAGTTTTAGTGCACACAGTGATCAATTATCAAAAGGAAAGGCTTGTTGAAAAGTATTTAATTCAATGGTACAATCAAACTCCAAGGAGTAAAATTACATGTATATGTCGACTCTGCATGGACTTCTTACCAAAACCATCAGTTACTCACATGATATGGCAGGAAAAATAGCACAAACAGCTGACTCCATTGATCACAATTATGAAACATACAAGAGAAAGAGATGGAATCAGCCTCTTGGCTGGCAATCTAATTGGTAGAGATCCTTGGAGGTAGGTATCAGTTCTTTCGACAGCTAGAAATTGACAGGGTTTTCTTAATTCCGCGCACGAGTCAATTATAACTTCTGAAATTTTTCCCCACAATGAATCCTAACTTCTGAAATTTTGGTCTTCTGAGTTTACTATTAGAGGAATCAAGAAGAAATTTGATCCCGCACAAACAGCAGCCATAAATGACCTTAAAAAACATATCTCCGCAAACTGTGTGCATGTTATATGCTTGCGAAATATTCCTTTAACAGACCAAACAGAATCCAAGACAAAATTCAATTCCTTTCCCCAGCAAAGGAAAAAGACACATCCAAACTTTAAAAAATTGCACAATCGTATTAGTTTTATTCAACAATGCCCCGAGCTCACTAAGAAAACAATAGAGACCAGAGAAGTATGAAAGAGAACCAGAAGAAAGGGCAATTACATTAACGGGCCAAGGGAACTGGTAGTGATGAATGAGTTCGTATCTCTCCATGTTAAATACTCTTATACTGCAGTCGTTGTTCGAAGCCATAAAATAACGCTCGCCACTGAAATAGGAAAAGAGGCATTATAGTTTTCCTGCTCCACTAATGTATCAAACTCAGCAGACGTAGTAAGCACTAAATTACCTTATGCTTTCATACATCTCCAAAGCATTGGTAATTGCATTATCATCATAACTCACCCTCGTACAGAAACTTACACCTGGTTTATCCAAGCACTGCACAGCATTTTTAGCAAACCATGATAAACAAAAGCAGCTTTCACAGAAATAATAATAATAAAGATTGTTAATCAGCAACAAACAAAGTGAATCTATCCCTAGGAAAGAGGACCACAAGTCTTTTAAGGATCAAGTCCTGATCAAACGACCAGAATAACCAGAAAGTTCCATCAAGTACAGGATTCTACCAGATTGTAATAGGAGAAAAGGATCATGATGTATTCAAAATGTCGCCATTTCAACTGTTTTAGTTAAAATGACTTTTGTCGCATCAATGGGTTACAATGAAAGTAACTTTATTTGAATAACCAACAACAAAATGTGCAAGTTTCCGAGCAAAAGAGCACCCAAAAAAAAACAAGAAATTTTGACTCTATAAGATTCTCACAAACTTAAGCAACAACTGAGGTTGACAAACATATGCATGTTTTCTCAATCCAAAAAAACAGTATATAACAATAAATTTGAAAGATGAAATGGGAATAAAGTGATAAGGGAACACCAAACTCAAAATTGTTGACAGACCAGGATGTTAAAAGTTAATCCAAGAAAAAAAGGAGACAACCGATAAAACTGCGCAAAAATAATACTATTTATTTCCAACCAATGTTTCAAACCTAATGCCAAACATGTCTTCAAGGTTTATCTTTTTACAAACAGGAAGTACACTAAATTTACAAGGATTGTAAGGGGGTGAAATATAGAAACATCTAACATGTAAAATGGCTCAAATCAGATACAGTCTCCTGTAGTAGTAGATGTGAACTCTTAATAAAAATATGAATCTGAATTCAGACACAACATCACAAATGTTGCACGTTGTGCCTCAGAAGCATCACCAAACCCACCCAAAGAAAGCCCTATCCCACTAAAGCCAGTGCAGAAAATAAAGTCAATAAAGAAAAAGAATAAAAGGCCTAGGAAGAACCAAGAGAAGTACACAAAAAAAGAGAGAGCTAAAATCAAAAATGAAAAATATAAACAAACACAAGTTTTGAGAGAGGAAAGAAGGGACTGGAAAGCGAACCCACCTTACAAATAATTTCTCCTTGGAAACCGCCTGCAACCAAAAACCTGTCCCAAACTGCCATAGTGCTTATCTGTGTTTGAGAGAAACCTTCCAACAAGTTCCCAGCATGTTTCTACACGTATATCCACCAAAGGAAATTAAAATCAAGGAAATTCAAGAATATAAAAAGAAAAAATAATAAAGAATGCATAGGCATATGGTGCATTGAGACAGAAATTTAGAAACTTAGCTGGACTCAACCCCCCTCCCACACTACTTCCCATAGAAGAGCCCACAAAACCTTCTAGCTCAAAGTCTGAAATTGTAAAATTACGGGTGGTGGCGCAGTTACCTCAGTAGGAACAATATGCCCCGAGAAGTTAAGGACCTCAGACAATTTGTGAAGCATAGATGACCAGTGCAATATAGAGTAATTGGAAATGAGGTACACATCATGTTTTGAAGTTGCCCATACCAAGTTTCTGAGCTGTTAAAACCATCAAAAGAGTGTCAGTCTTTAATTTTCTGCTCAATTCAACAATTAATATGGGAAACCAAACAAAAAGGGTATACATCTTAGCCAAGTCACAGCAGCCTTCACGTATGCAGGCCAACCCCAAGTATTTCAATGTCATAATTACACTCAAAACAGCATCAGAAATCATGCAGGAGAGGACAATTTTTATAGGACAACATAAAGCAGAGAACAAATACAAGAATATATGAAACGAATAAGTCCAGAAACAGTGATGCCATAAATGACTTCGCCTATGCATTACCCACTTATCAGTTAGTATAACAAAAGGTGTAAAGGGAAACAACCAAATCAACAAAGGAACAAAAAAGGGAAAGAATGACAAAGCATGAAGAGGCAATAGGGAATAGGCCACCTGAATGCAGCGAGACAAAGAAACTATGGATTTATCTGGTCATAACCAAGAAGATTTTTATAGATGCTAGAGATTGTTAGCATCCATATGATTTTCATCCATGAAAGAACGGATTTAATATACAAGATGACTGAATAGAACTTGCTTGTTAGCTAGTCCTGTGTGTTTTGGTCCCATTATTATCAGCCTTTATATATGGACAGATGTAATATAGTAAATCTTGCCATCTTGTATTCAATTTGTCTTCTTCGTAATTAGAGGACAATTTTTATAGGACAACGTAAAGCAGAGAACAAATGCAAGAATATATGAAATGAATAAGCCCAGAAACAGTGATGCCATAAATGACTTCACCTATGCATTACCCACTTATCAGTTAGTATAACAAAAGGTGTAAAAGGGAAACAACCAAAACAACAAAGGAACAAAAAAGGGAAAGAATGACAAAGCATGAAGAGGCAATAGGGAATAGGCCACCTTAATGCAGCGAGACAAAGAAACTATGGATTTATCAGGTCATAGCCAAGAAGATAGATTTTATAGATGCTAGAGACTGTTAGCATCCATATGATTTTCATCCATGAAAGAACGGATTTAATATCCAAATCACATGCGCCATGAGGACATCAAGAAAGATGAAAATTAATTACGAAGAAGAAAAATTGAATACAAGATGGCAAGATTTACTATATTACATCTGTCCATATATAAAGGCAGATAATAATGGGACCAAAACACACAGGACTAGCTAACAAGCAAGTTCTATTCAGTCATAAACTCATACAAAGAAAGATGCAAAATATACATCAGAAAGTAAAGTCCATAATGAATTCAAGTATATTAATACAAACCTGAAAATGAAGGATGGTCGGTTTAACAACTCTTGAATTATAGAAAAACTCGTAATATTCCCCACCCTTCTCGGTTGGCTTCCATTCCTACAATGAAGAATAAAGATGTAATTCATGTACAGAAAACTAGTCACTTCACTCAGAATAAACATTGAATACCTTATCTGCAGTTTCACCAGAAGCAGGTACATTTTCATAATTTTGATACTGCAAAATTCTAGTCGCCCTATAATCATCTCTTGTTATATTCAATCTGCTCCAAGGGATGCCCTGTATGTCCTTTCCTTTCCTCGCTTGTGCAGCCGATGTATCAGTGACTTTTGTAAGCTTCAAAAACACAAAAAAGCCACAAAGAGAAGGGGGAAGTGAAAATTAGTACTGTATGTGAACAATTCATAAAAAATTTAACAGGTTATGTGAGAAAAAAAGCTACACACTAACCATATCATATTCATCAAGATTCACATCTAGGGTATCATCATTAACTTCTCCATCGAATTCGACTATGGAATCTACGTCGTCTTCTCCATCCTCCTCCATGTAATCCTCAACTCTTTGGGGATTGTCAGCCATCTTTGTTTTTTCTGCTGTCCTGCAGCTTTAACACCTGCACAGTAACTATTGTTAAAAAAATAAATTCAGAAAAATTTTCTAAATAACTTACCAGTTTAGCAGAGTGGCAACCTAACCCGAAAACCAACCAAGCAAAGCAAACACAAAATGCTTCTTCCCCTCAACCAAACGCTAATCACGTAATATCCAATCTATGACAAACCAAACGGTTCCAAAACTCGGTATAGAAGGAAAACACAGTAAAGCACTGAGAACCCAAATTCCAAATAAATACACCTGCAAATAACCTACTTAAGAAAAAGTAAATTTGAGAGATAAAATACTTCAATCATATAATCATAGCACCATCCCTCCCCAAGAAAACTAAAGATTAAACAAACCCTTTGGAAGAACACACTCTTCTGAGGACAAAAATTGAAAAGCTGAACTTCCTCCAAAAAAAAAATATATATATATATATAAATAAAAATAAAAAATAACCCTCATAAGATTAAACAAAACATATATGAAAAAGCTTCTCACCTCAAAATCGAAACAGGGATTGCACCCCACAAAGTCCCTTCTTGGTAACCTGGATTTCTACGCGGTTTTCGGCTGTAAAACAGCAAAATCCCGGGAGTATATATGGTTTTGGGGGGCAGTAGAAGTTTCAAGAAACAGAGGAACAGGCAGGATGGTGGTGGGGGCTGAATGTATGGAAATCTGTGAAGGGAAAGAGGGATTTCTGATTGGGATGATGGAATAACGTTGGCGTTGATGACAACATATTACTTCTACTAATTACAGCATACTTTTTTTGGAGTTTGATAAAAATATGGGAAATGATTGTGAAAAAAAAATATAGAGTTAAGAATTACAAATTACAATGCACGCATGCCCATTTGCAGTTTGGGATATTATCATCATACTTACCCTGTCCCATCATCAATCGTCGGTAATGAATTATTTCACTTTTTCTTTCTTTCCTGTTTTGCGATGAGGAACGAATTTTTTTTAGAAATGCACCCAAAAAAAAAAAAAAAACTTTTACAATCTTTTGTGACTTTGTGTAACACCCGGAAAATTTATAAAATTCAATGATTCAATCACTTAAAGGAAAAAAGTTTTAAAAATTTTAGTGTATAAGATATGTTCGTAATTCGTGTTAAGGTTGTTTGAGTAATTATCTAAGGAGATTAAACAAATTGTTGATTCAAGCAATACATAAAAAACATTAACAAATTTATACATATTTAGTTATTATTACAAGTCAGTAATATAATACTCCCTCCGTCCCATAATTATTTTCCAATTTTACTAAAATGAAAGATTTTATTTTTGGTCAAACTTAACTATATTTTACCTTAAACAACCGAATATACCCCTACATAAGTAATTGTTTAACCACTAAGATTTTATGGATAATGTTTTTTACTAAAGACAGATGTGTAACTTGATCCATAAAAAGTCAAATTGGACAATAATTTTAGGACAAAATTTTTTTGGCAAAGTGGACAATAATTATGGGACGGAAGGAGTATAATATAATATATTTATTACATCTCAAATTGGTTGTCCAGTTGAATATTTTACTTTTAGTACAAATTATATTAAAAACTGAAAAAAAAAATCCAAACTAGGAATTTGGGTATACATATGAGAAAAGTAAGGGTTAATTGGTTGACAAAATACTAATATATTCCTTTTCTTCTTAATTATAAGACACAACTTTATTAACCAAAAAAAAAAAAAAAGACACAACTTTAACGCTAACTAGATGTACACCCAAACGATTCAGTGGTAAATTATAGTTTCATAAATTACTTTTAAAATACTTATAAAAAATAGCAAATGTGTGAAATAATAATTGTTAAAAAAATTTAATAAATAGAAAAGTGTTGCATGATAAATGAAAGGGAATTTTTTGGCACCAGGATAATTTCACGCATTATACAAATTTTTCATTAAAAAAATGAAATCTCAAAATGAAATACAAAAATCGATATAAATTTTATTTAGAAAAGAAAAAGAAATACTCTTCTTCAGTCCCAAAATAATTATTCAATTTGAAATTTTATTTTTTATTCAAATTGTATTAAAGTAACAAATAAACAAAAAAAAAAACTTATAGAAACCGATAATATATTTTTTTATATGTGCAATCTATCAATCAATAAATATAAATATATCCTATTAAAGCAAAATGTATTTTGAGAAAAAATGTCACGTGTTCCCCCACGTTAATCCATTTTCCGCCAAAAATGTAACCAATGAAACTACACCGTAATAATTTTGTTACAATGATTAATATAATAATTTATCCATATTAAATGCCTGATTACTTATGCTCCATATGATCCCCGATTTAGTGACATTATATGATACTTTTCTATATATCGTAACTAGATTTGAAAAATAGATTATAAAAATTATTCATTCTGTACTAAATAAATAGCCCAAAATAGAAGGCGCATAAAAAATATGTAAAATGTAAGAATAAAAGTTGATGATCTTCTAAACGGTCAACGTAGTTGATTCTTTATTTTTTGGGAGTACTTTTGGAGGAATTCTTAAGTGCAATTTTTATATGTCAATTAAATGTACTTTTCTTTAGGTGTCTTGAATTTTGCAAGAAAAAATAAAAATTTCAAAATATCATCTTAAATTACACTTAAGGTGAGATTCCAAACAATTTCATTATGTCATTAGTTTCCACAACAAAAAAAAAAATAATAAAAAACTTAGATATTCCAACATACTTAATGCTAATTAATAAAATATATTTAGATGTTCCAACAAAATTAATCCTAATCAAGTAATAATTGGATATGTAATATGTTTTATATAAAATTAAAATTAAAATGAATTCATAATACTAGTTGTTCAAATAAGATTAACACATAATGTTCGTTTTAACTTTCATGACCAGAATTCGCATTCCTTTGATTCTATAAATAGTTACCTTTAATTAACGTGTACATTAACGTATGATATGATGGAATGTTAATTTTGACGTCGAAACATGATTTCAAATTTAATTTAATCCAGTTACAATTTTTTTTTACACTTTAATAAAAGACGAATAGAGTGACGTCATATAACACAATAACCTTCTATGAACGACACGTGAGAATTGAATATATATATATATATATATATATATATATATATATATGTTACTTATGTCAGTATAATCTCAAATTAGTATTGTCCCGCACGTTGCCAGGGTGCTGTAAATTATGAAGATAGAAGTATATATGGGTAATTAATTTTAAATTTAATATCTTGCATAATATTTTTAAAAAAATCAAATAAACTGAGTGTCGATGTATTTTCTTTTCGTTTGTGAGATCCTTCAACAAGTGCATATCAAAACTTTTATATAAGTTCCTTTTTTACTAATGTCATTGTTCTGATGCCAAGGATAAAAGTAAAGAATTTTTGCCATAGACACACTTACAGTGCACAAATTTTGTTGTTATTTGACAAAAAAAAAGGAAAAAAAAAAAGAAACAATGGTATAATGGTAAGATCTTATCTTATCATCATTTATATTATTTTTAACACGTATTCCAAATAATGAAACAAAAAAATGGATGGTACAAATATGTCTTCTTTATTTGGAGAGAAATTTCAAAATATTTTATTTATTTAATTTTAATTAACCAAACTTTAGAAATAATTAAATTAGATACAGAGATCTTATTGCATCTTTGAATGATTTTGGCAGATAATTGTGGATTTTATTCCATGCGTTAATGTAAAATTTGTTTTGAGAAATTTATTTTAAGAAAAGATTTTCAAAATATGGTTAATTTTATCGCATCATGAAAGATTTGGGTATCTTATGGTACTAAAATAGAAATGTTTGGATTTTATTTACTCTCGTTTAAAAAGTATCTGTGAAAAATTGAAATTAAATAATTACATGAAAATATTGAGTACACTTGATTGCACTTAATATGTCTGATTTTTTCATCAATTAGCTAATTTTATGCCACGTGTCCCAAATCTCTTTCTTTTTTTTTTCTTTTTTTTTTAAAGAAAAAAAAAAGAAACTGATGAGCTATGTATAGAAAGGCACAATACACAAATAACCTCTAAGATGAACATTGTAACCTTCATACACCTAATCAGCAGAATCCCTAATTTTATTCAATTAAATTTCAAAAAAGAAGGGCAATGTATAAGCTAACCATTTACAGAGAATGTTGTTGCGTATTTGAACGTATAGAAATTACTCACGTGCAAACAAAGAAATAAAATAAACCTCGTTCGCACTCAAGGCCCAAGGGAAAGCTCGTCCTTGTCTCGTGCAAGTAAGGGTCGATCCTACGAGGATAGTAGTGATTTGAACCATTAAGACACACTCATAAGCAAAAGTTAAATGATTCGATAATGGTTAACTAAACTAATTTACAACAAGGAAACATAACTAAAGAAACATGTAAGGGGAAGAAATCGAGATACTTGAGGGTCCTATGAATTACTTTTGATCATCCCGTGGATTTTGGTCATTCAAACCATTCCAATTATTTTGTTAACAAGGAAAGTCTCCTTAAAGGAGTCTAAGGCAAGTTGCTACCACTCGACTAATTGGCTCAACTAAATAAATTTAGCTCCCATCTATTAGGAATTAGTTACTAACCTAACCTAAGTTATTCATTGTGGGTAAACCCCCGCTAAATACCTCAACAATTCCTATTTTCATTCGGTGTGGACTCACTACTCCCGTGTTTCCACGTTGAATACCAAATAGGCAATTTACCGCTACTACCATCCCGATAAATGTAATTGTCTACCTTAAATATTGTCCGGTACACGATCATCCATGAATTAACCCTCCTCCAATGGGTTCCTAATTTCACAAGCGATTACCATTCTAATTAGTCTCAACAACAAATTGAATTCAAAAGCCCATTTAATTTCCACCCAAAGAATCACAAGTAAAATTCACTCATCAATCTTCTTCCTAATACAATCAAACGAAACATTCAACAACAAATAAACAATTCAAATTTAACACAATAATGGAAGTAACTACTAAAATAAATTAGCAATCCATGGAGATTCACAATCACAATACAATAGGAGGAGTTTAGCTAGCCATAATAAGGAAGAAAGAAACCACACCAAGTTGTACGAGCTTCAAGACTTGAAAGGGAAGATACCACCTCAACTTCTCAAGGTTCTTCAAACCTTCCTATCTTCTTCCCCTTTTCTCCACCCCCGATGGTGAAAGTTCATCCCAAATGGACAAGCCAAACCTCTCCCTCTTTTTCTCTTTCTCTCTCCTTTAACAAATTAAAATTTAAAACTAACTAAAATAATGTAAATAAATGAACCTAATCTAAGAAATGAAGAAGAAAGTTTAAACTATATTTAGAGGTGCTGAAAAATGGAATTTTTTCCTTAAATATATTTCTTTTTATATACCTGGAAAAATATAAACCTTCAAAAAATTTTGTGGACAAACTTATATGTCCCGGATTTAAAAAATTCGAATGGGGGGAAAACTCAAATTTCCGAAATCCGAACCTCTCTAAACTCGGATTATAGAAATCCGACTTTGTGTTACGTAAATCCAATCTTAAGTTAATGACAGAAATTAGTATAATTAATCTAAATCCGGATTTTCCAAATTCGTATTTACAAATAAAATACTAATTTCCGGATAGAAAAAAAATATGTGTTAAAAAATTAAATTTGAGAAAACTCGGATCACGGTAATCCGAATGAATGTAGATTCGAATTACCGTAATCCGAATCTATTCTGTTTTCTGCAAAATGCTAACTCTCAGTTGGCTACATACTCGGGTTTACGAAATCCGAATCCATTACAAAAAGTCTGAGTTCGGATTTCGCAAATCCGAGTCTATGTCAGAACTGAAAAAAAAAAAATAGACTGGTTTTAACCAGTCCTAAACCTGTTTACAGCACCAACAACAATGAAACATTGGAAAACAAATATTTAATGGCAACAAAACAATAAACGACATTCGATTAACAACAAA